CTCTCTCTCTCTCTCTCTCTCTCTCTCTCTCTCTCTCTCTCTCTCTCTCTCTCTCTCTCTCTCTCTCTCTCTCTCTCTCTCTCTTAGATCACTTGCACATGCACTGCTCGCACTGCTTCAAGCACGTGCATAGAAGGGACTTGTTGATTGGTCGTGTCGTCAGCTTACGACGTCAAATAATTCTCGAAGTAAGTGTGACACATTAGGCTACCAGAGTGGCCCGGGGTCACTTGCCCGGCCGGGCCAAAAACATTAAAAAAAATAAAAATAAAAGAAATATTTTTTAATTTTATTTTTTAGTCTGAATTTGATGAAGAATTTCGATGTGACCCTGAGGCAAAAGTTGTTCAGTTTATTTTTCTGCATAACATAGATTTTTTCCGGATTTGTTGGACTTTTTTTTTTGTTTATTTTTTTTGCTGGGACCTTCCCTGGTCCTTGCACGGGCTGGCCACCCGGGACCCGGGCGCCCCGGCTGGTAGCCTAGGCGACGCATCAATAAAAAACTATTGTTGGTTTTCAGCTCATTCACTTTCGATTTCTACATCTTTTGTTAGTGTGCAAGGAATATGAGCGAGAGCGATAGACAGAAAACCAAATTGCAATATCACGCTGTAGACCAGATAGTCGTGTACCAAGCAGAATGCACACTGCACCGAGATACCAGCCAAATAAGAGCAATACAACGAAACTCAAATGTCAATGTCGACACTCCCTCGCCACACCAACATAGTGTCCAATGTCCCTCTTCTTGAATGGCGTACAGCGCCCAGCCTACTCTACTCAGCCTATACTACGTCTTCCCCCGAACATAATGCACCCTGAGAATGAACGTATACAAGCTATATTTTCGTTCCGGTACAGCCAAGATAAGAATGCGTTGTGTTCGGGGGAAGACGGTAGCCTACACTACGTATAAGCAAAATGAGTCACTTCAAGCTGAAGACGGATGTATGTGACGGCATTGCCAATGCAGACTGCCAGCATACACCAGGTATGTGGCTGCCGTGCGCCCGCTGCCAGTGCATGCACCTCCTCTGTGCACCCAGCTGCATGCACCTCCTCTCCCGAAGACAACCACCACCATACCAGCTCGTGCGCGGCCAGCCCGGCTATGGCTGCCGTGCGCCCGCTGCCAGTGCAGCGCCCACCACCTCTGTGCACCCGCATGCGCCTCTGACCCATCAGCACCCCGGCAGGCTCCTGTTTGCGACACAGCAGCGTGGCCGCCCGCAAATGCAAGGCCAGAATGTGTCTTTGCTTGGGCGCTCACGTTCCTCACTTTCCTATATGGAAAGTGTGCCTGCCTGTGGCGGCCCTGACCCTGGCCTGCGTGTGCCCAGTAGCTTCACGTTGGGCCA